CTAAGCCCCCCCCCCCCGGAGAAGGTAAGGAATTCCCTTTGCTGCCACAGTGGTTGTGGCATCCCCTGAGGCACAGCTTCCCTGGGCAGGCCAGCTTTTCCAGACAACCACCTTCTTCATCCAAGGCAGCTGGACAGACCCTAGTAAAAAGGCAGGTGCTGCCTTTTCTGGGGTCCTCAGCCTTGGAGATGGAGCCTCGAGGGGCGCTGTCAGACTCAGTGTGAGCTTGTGGGGGTCCCAGGATCTTCTCCTCCCTGACCAGTCTTTCCTGGTGGCTGACCTCCGGGGAGCAGAATAGTAGCAGTGTCATTGATGTGACCCTCAGGGCTTGGTGGGGAAGAGCAGACAGGTGAGTCCTCTGCTGCCACCATGTCTGTCCACCAGGGGCAAAGGGTGCTTCGCATGGTGCTGGATCATGGCAGCCACGGAGGAGAAGAGCTACACAGAAGGGAAGGCATCCATGAGTCCCAAGGGCCTTAAGCCTCACGATGCCAGCAACTTCCAGGCTGAACAGGCGGTCTGTGCAGGGCTTGTGGACATTTTTCTGGATTTTTCCCTTCCCGATTGCCCCATGACAACTCCATCCCATTTTGCTGCTAGATTCTAAGCCTCAAGCAGCTTGCCTGACCCACTGCTGGGCAGACTCTGATTTCCCGACAAGATGAAGAAAACTGCCCTGGTCTTTCGGTGTGAGAAGTTGAGTGTGGGTGACTGGTCTGCGCCCCAGCAAATTGAATCCTTGGGAGAGGTAGATAGGACTCTGAACTCCTGGGGACCCCTATCTACTCTACCTGGCCTCACCATAGGTCCCCACCTGCCTCCAGCCCCTGTCATTTCTGCCCACCCCAGAAAGAACAAGTTGTAGAATCTCCCACTCGGCTGGGCCTAGAGTGCTGTGACCCTCACCCTCCTGGTGAGCTAGGGCCCTGCTTCCCTGGTACCCACCTCCTCGTGGTGCCGGCCCTCCCGGCCCAGAGCATAGTGGCGTCCACCATCCAGCTGCCTGATGGGGATGTTGAAGACCCGGCCTCGCAGGAGCACGGCCAGAGTGAAGGGCTGGGAGCTGTGAGGCCCTGAGCTGGGCCTCACTGTGTAGGCCCCATCCTGTGGAGGAGACCCCAGTCATGAGCCTCATCTTCCAGCTGTGCTTCCCAGTGCTGCACAAGGTGTCCAGAACCTTCCTGGCCCTCCAACCACAGCCGGGGTAGAAGGGACTCCGGAGAAGCAACAGGGTTGGCAGATGCCCACCTTTTGGAAGCGGAGTAGGGCTGTCTCAACAGCATGCCGGTCACAGTTCCCCGAATACCACGGTTGATCCAGAAGGCCTCTATCCTGCACACACACACACACACACACACACACACAGAGCCACTCAGTCCAGGCTCTGGGTTGGGCATGGGGAACAGAGAATACTGGGTGCATTTTTTGTGTCCACATCTGCCAGTCCCAGACTGAGCACCCCCACACCAGAACAGAGAGGTGGCAGAGTGCACAGCTGGTTACCACACTCAGTGCTCCATGTGGGTTCCTACAGTGGTGCATGCCCCAGACACCCCGAGGCCTCCTGGGTCAGGACCTGCTCCCCAGCCTGCTAGCAGCCCCTCCTCACCTCTGCAGCTGAGGTGTTCGAAGTGGGAGCTCTGGAGAGAAGAGACTGTCTCCTCCCAGCTGAAAGATGCAGAATATGCAGCTGGGACTGGGGGAATTTGGGCAAAGAAGGCAGCTTCTGGGGTGGGGGTGACAGGGCTCCCTGTGCTTCTCAGTTCTCCCTGGTAGGACCCACCGCTTGGATGTGTGTGACTTTTAAGTGAGTGTCCTTGGGACACAGACTGGGAGCTTGCTGATTTGGTGCAGCATGGAAAGTGCCCCAGAGGGTTCCCTCAGGCCTGATTTTGGCTGAAGGCAGGACAGCAGGGACTTCCTTGACAAAGCTGGGCCTGAGGGACTGGGGCGGACTCTGGCCTGCAGGGCTGTGCCTACACTGGGGCTGAGGCAGGAGGTACGTGTACGCAGTCTGTGCACTGACCTTTAGAGGTGGCATCTGTTGCTCCCTGGAACATGAGATATAGTCAGGAGAAAGATGCCCGGAGCCTGAATTCCCACCCTGAAGCACTGACCCTGTCTCCACCCCAACTTCCCCTTTGATCTTGAGCCTCTTACATTCCAAGCTTCCATGGGGGTGGGGACTACGGTAGGCCTGCAGTAAGCAAATTGGAGAACAGAGCTCGAGGTTTTTATCATGTCCATGAGAAAGAGCCCAGTGAACCCAGCAGCCCTGCCTGCAGCCCTGGGACAAGGCAAGGTCGCACCCTGCAGTCAGGCCTGGGTGCTGATTTGCTGCTATCCCCTCTCTCCCTCCCTCCCTCCCCCCCCCTTCTCTCGTGTATGCACTGCATCTGGAAGGGCACTCACCTGGGCACCACAGATGTCCTTGGCAGGGGGACTGGAGGTATCAGAACTTGGGAGCTCAGAGTCCAAGTCAAAGCAGGGACTGAAACAGAGAGGGCAGGTGGGGCTTGGCCACACCGGTTGGGGACATCCATGCGGGACAGGGCAGGACTGAAGACAGCTGCAGGGCCTGGGCTTCCTGGGAGTCCTGCCAACCAGAGGTAGAGGCGAGGAGTCCCCAAGCCCTCGCTTTGAGGGGCCACCTCCCTGGTAGACACCATGGGGGTGTCAACTAGGGCCAAAGGTGGAAATGAAGAGGTGCTTGGCTCACCTGTGTCTGGCTCGCACTCCAGGTAGATGTTCTCATCAGGGTTCCTTGCAGGGCCCTGCACCTAAGTGGAGAGGGTTGAGTGGGTCCCGGGTTTGACCAGCCCTGGGGTTCCTTTAGGACTAGGAGCCTCTGCCTCCAGCTGAAAGGGCAGAGCAGGGAGGGAACCTTGTTTGTAAGGGTCATTCTGGGCACCTCACTCCCTCCTCACCATGGGCCCTCTTTTGGGGAGACTCTGGAATGATTAAACGTGCTCCTCTGAGTGGGGCCAAGGCAGGAGGATCCCTGAAAATCTGAGGCCAGCCTGGGCTACACAGCAAGACCATGTCTCAAAAAAACAAACAAACTATATTAAGTTAAATTGCTCCTTGCTTTTGAGAGGACATCCCATGGTGTCCTTCCTTTTCAGAGGTGCCACAGGCATGGCTCTCAGAGAATGTGGGTGTCAAGGAGGAGCCCTGGATGGCACCCCACTGGCTTATGCCTGCAGAGGCCCTATGGCTGAGGGGGCTGTGCTCTGGGCCTTTCCTTTCTGCTTCAGGGATTTTTCCTGGCCTTCTTGGTCCCCACCTCACCCCACCCTTCCAGGCAGAACCAGATTGTGAGACGGGTAGGGGTAGCTCACCACTCTGGACAATGCATCCCGCTCTGCAAGGAAAAGAGAGAGCCATGGTTGAAAGAAGGAGGGGTGTGGGCAGCGTTCCCTAGGACTTGGTGACCTCCCAACCACTTTGCCAGGCTTGGCTCCCTCTAACTCTGGGCTGGTCCAGATTACCAAAGCCAACCTCAAGGTTACAGAGGTCTAGCAGCTCTGGGCACAGTAAAATAGAATGTGCCTCGGGTGACCTGTTCAACCTTGGGCAGGGAGAGACCAAGTTCCCTGAAGTCCCTCCCTGTGCTGACTTTCAGAGTTCTAGGTTCTCATAGGAGCAAGTTCCTGGATAGCCGAGGCAATGATAACATGGATTAGTGAGGTGTGGTGGCACACACCTGTGATTCCAGCACTCAGGAGGCTGAGGCAGGATGATCGCCACAAGTTTGAGGCCAACCTGGGCTACATAGTTCAAAGCCAGCCTGAACTACTTATCAAGACCTTGTCCCAAAACAAAAGTGAAAATGATGACCTGTATGGAGTCAGAGTGGAGCTCGAGGGCACCCCCTCTGATGTGGGATGGGACTCAGATGTCTCAGGATGGAGGGCCCTCAGGGTCTGAGCAGGCTGCCCTTCGACCTCTTCATGCTGTGCCGTCCCCTACCTTACCCAAAGGTCATGCCAGGTGCAAAGCATGGCCTTGGGTGGGCCACTGTCTGTGCCATCTCAGGCACAGCAGTTCCTGTCTCTGAGCAAGCCCAGCTCCATGCCCCGGGGGGTGAGGGCTCCCCTCTAGCTCAGGGCCTTGGACACGGAGGATGTCCCCCTTACCTTGCCTCCCAGAGACGGAGCCCTGTTTCATGGCTGCACGCAGGTTCATTGCTACCTTCAGCTGTGGGCACAATGGGGCTGGTGAGGGTGGAGGGGACAGAAGCTTCCAGAGCAAGGATGGTGAGGGGAGGTGGCATGGGGTCCCGCTGTATTTGCAGTTTGAAAATCCAACCAGGCAACAGAAGAAAATGTGCAAAGGGAGGGTACCTCTCCATCTTTCTGTCTCTACTCTGTAGTGTTGGGTTTTGTTTCTTTTGTACTGGGGATCAAACTCATGACCTTGTGCTTGTGACGTAGGCACAGTGCCACTGAGCTAAATCCTGGGCCCTGTAGCTCTTTCCTTGTTGTCTCTCCCTGTTTTGATATCAGTGTAATAGATTTCAAAGTCCATAATCACAGTGGGCCTGGGAGCTGCTGGGGACCGCAGTCTCAAGAGACTTCTTGAGTCTGCCCTGAGTCCTGGGGTGGGTAGCTGAGCCCCGCTCCTGTCCCCCAACTCGGGACACAAGATGGTGAAGCCCCGGGGGCAGGAATGAAAGGACCAGCTGGGCCAGCTGAAGGGCTGATTGACACTGCTGGTCCAGGGCTGTGGCTTCCACAGCGTTCAGAGGCCTCTTGAATGCAAATACTGGGCATCTTGCAAATGAGCTGCCTCCGAGGATTACTCACTGGGAAAGGGCAGCCCACGGCGGGGCGGCTAGGGAAGGAGGGGCTGCAGAGAAGGCCTCTCCCCTTGATGGGCTGAGGTCGGGCTGGCAGTGGGCCCACCCGGCCAGAGTGATCTGGAAAAGACACAGTGTGCTGTGGGTTGGGCGGGCTCCTCCCCCGCAGGCCCCACTCCCCTGCCGCTCCTCACGTACCCTGCACCTTCTCTCCCTCCCTCGCTCCCCACTGCTCAGGACTTCCCCACCGACAGCCTAGTCTCCTTGGCAACTGGAGGCCACCGGTGTCCCTGCCCCCACCTGGCTGGGCCCAGGAGCTGTGGAGGGTGGGAGACCAGTGGCATCTGGGCTCACGGGCATCCCCACCTGATAGAGGACAGGCTGGGATCTCAGAGGGGGAACACCAGGCCCCCAGGGACCCTGTCAGTCCTCTTGCTTTCCCGCCGTTGCCTTGGTTACCCCACCTCTCCCCTATTCTCCTTCCCTCCCCTCTCCCTTCCTCCCTCCCTCCCTCCTTTCCTTCTTCCCACCTTCCCCTCTTCTTAGCGCAGACACCCTAGTGACTGCCAGCTGAGGCCTCCCTGTCCTGCCCTAGCGGGGCTTTCTTTCCTTGGGGATCCTCTGGCCCTGCCCAAGCCTCGCATCAACCCACCCCCGTCCCCAGGCCTCACCCAGGTACTCAGAGTCCTCCTCCATGCCGGGGAGGTGCACAGGGGCCAGACTGCGGGGCAGAGCAGTCTCACAGGGAGGCAGTTCATATTTGTCCTCTTCCTCTTCCTCTTCGTCCTGCTGGGCCTTCAGGAAGGGATGCTAGGCCCAAGAGGCCTCCGGGACACTGGTGGCCACTGCCTCCCCGCCTCTGCAGCAGCCTCAGTAGTGGGACTTACCTTGTGTCGCCAGTTCTGTAGGGCAGGCAGAGGATATGCACTGGGGGCATCTTCTCTCCAAGCTGGGGCATCTGCAAGGACACACTGGCCTCATCTCTTCCCGGCCCAGCCCCTTTAGCACAAAACCCTGCTGTCTGCCCAGAGTAAAACCCTCCACGCTGGACAGTGGGCTTCAACCCTTCAACTCAAAGGACTTACTCACCACAGCACCTCTAGCACTGCAGTGGGGCTTCCCACCTGTGCCAGCCCCTGCTGACTGAGGCAGGAGCCAAGCAGTGCTGTACCACGGTGGGGTCCAGAGCCACCCTCGGAGACCCAATTCATGGGAAACCCCACTCTGCTGAGCCCCTCTGGCCCACTGTGTCACTTACCCATGCATCTGGGGGGTGGGACCGGGGGCCCCAACCTGAAAGCAGACTCTGGTCAACTCTGCTCAGGGGGCCCTTGAGTTTGGGTCAGCTTGACGTTGTGTCTACGAGATTCCCATCTATGATGGTGTGAATGTCCCCGGGGAATTGTGTGGCCAGGGCAGCTGGGGGGAGGAGGCTGGGGGCAGAGCTGGTGGCCTTTGGGTACACAGCTGGATGAGTTGGTGCTCTAGGGAGTTGGGGGGCTGAGTGCTAGGTGCTGCCAGAGGGTAGAGGCACAGGAACAGTTGCACAGGGGTGCAGTGGATGCAGAGACTGCACCCAAGCTAGGACAGTTGTGCCTGCAAGGGAGGGGTGGGGTGGGGTAGAGACCAGAGGGCAGGAGAGAAAGGAGCCCAGGTACTCACCGGGGCTTGTTTCTGCTGAGCTTGTCCTGGAAAGAGCCAGGAAGTGGCAGAGAAAGTGTGCTCAGTACCTCTGGGTTGCCTGCCTCTGCCCAGAGTCCTGCCCCCCTAGGGGTGGCTAGGTGTCCCCCTGGGACAGCTCCAGGATCAAGTCTCACCATGGCAAGGGGAGAAGAGCTCTGCCTCCCCAGAGCCCAGGATCTGCCATAAATGGCCCAGAGACAGCAACCCTATTGTTCCCATTATTTGCATCTCCTAAACACCAGGAAGGTGGCTCGAATAGACTTCACCTAGGACACACCCAGGGCTGGCCCCAGCTCTCCCTCCCCTGCGCTGAGCTAGACCAGGGCTGGTGGGCTGCCTGCAGCTCTCTGATCAATGTTGCCTTCACTGACTCACAGCCAGCCTTGAGTTATGGATCCAGTGAAAAATGAAGACTGCCTGCAGACCATTTAAAACCCTTCACTCTTGGTTTCATTTGCTGGTGAGCAGTGATCAGTGGTCAAAGAAATGTGGCTGTGAGAAGCTCAGAAACAGGCTCTCATATTTGGTGTGACAGCTTCATTTTTTCCCATCCAAGTACTAACCCAGGCCTACCCTGCTTAGCTTCTGAAATCAGACAAGATGAGGTGCGTTCAGGGTGATATAGCTGTAGACAACAGCTTCATTTTTGATGCCTGTGTTTATTCATTCAGTGGTATCTGTCAAGCATCCACTCTTGATTAGGCAGTGTTCCGGGTGATAGAGACGCCACAGAGAAATGAGACAGGCATCACACATGTGTTTCCTCACTGGATTCTCAAAATAACCCCATGATGTAAGCACTAGTTTTATCTCTGCTTTTTGAATGGAATTTTCAAATGGAATTGCTCAGCCTAAGAAGACGGAAGCCACAGAACAAGAGGGGTCATGGATGCAGCCCCAGTCCAAGGTCAAAGGCCTGGAAGCTCACAGGAGGGTCGGCAGTCCTATCTCAGACTGCCGTAACACAATGTCACAGGCCAGGTGGCATAAGCAATAAAAATGTTACTTTCTCACAGCTCCAGAGAAGTCTAAGTTTAAGATGCCATCGAAGCTGGTTTCTGGCGTGGCCTCTTTCCTGGGCTGGGAGACAGTCGGCTCCCCATGCCCTCACATGACCTCTTGTCTGTGTGGGGCTGGCGGGGAGTGCAAGCTCCACTATTCCTCTCTCTCACAAAGACTCCAGTGCTGTTGGATTTGGGCCCCATTCCTAAAACCCTGCTTTACCTCAATCGCCTCCCTTGAGCCGCTGCCTCCAATTACAGTCCCACTGGGGGTTAGGGAGTCCACAAAAGAATTGGGGCCGGAGGACAAGTAATTCAGTAAAGATGAGGCTCTAAGAAGTTGAATAACCTTCTCAAGGTCGTGCAGCTAGTAAAGTGCTACAGCTGAGACTCAACCTATTTGCCCAGCCCAGAACGTCCACTTGGGTCTGGACCCTCCTCGCTCACCATGACATTGTACTCTGGTACCGGTGGGCTTTCTTAAGGAGCTTGTGACTTCCTGTGCTGTTACTCAAGTGAATCAGCTTTTGAGAAGTATCGGCATAAAAGTGAAGAGAACCTGATGCCTGACTCTTTAAACCAAGAAATGAGGAAACGTTGACCGCGATCAAGAATGTCAATACTTTTAGAATCCTGTAGCTATCCTGCACTTATTATGCTGGCTGTTGGCAGGAAGAGGAAATGAAGCATCAGGGTTAGAGCTGGCCACAGCCTTAGAAAGGAAGACCAAGGGCCAGGGATTTAGCTCAGTGGTGCCACGCCTGCCTCATAAGCACAATGTCCTGAGTTTGATCTCCGGTTCCAAAAGAAGAAAGAAGATGAAAGTCAGGCATGGTGGCACATGCCTATATTCCCAGCCCTTGTGAGGCCAAGGCAGGAGGATCACTGTGAGTTCAAGGCCAGCCCAAACTACATAGCAAGACCCTGTCTCAAAAAATAAAAAATATATGCATAAACAAATAGACCAGATGGCCTACAAGCAAATGGGCACAGAGCCATGAAGAGGGCTGTGGAAGTAACTCAGTGGTAGAGGGCTTGCTTATCGTGCACCAGGCCCCAGCAATTCATGTTAAACACAAAGAGGTTATGAAGAGTCAGCTTAACAGGGAGCCCAGGTGGCATAGTGGGGGAACCTGGGAAACAAAAACAAAGAATCTGCACCCAAAGCTCAGGACTTGGGTCGGTTTCTTGTCCTTCACTCCCTAGCTGACCTTTGCTCCATAAAGCAGGGGGTGACTTCCCTTTCCCAGGGGACTCAAAGGATCAGAGTCCTTCGTTCTCAGTGAGCACAGCCCTCTGGATACTGCCCTGCCATAAACCCCAAGCTAAGTGAGTGTCCTTGGGCACCCTGTCCTCACTCAGCTGCCTCCTACCTCTGCCCAGGCTTTGCATACATAGGCAAATGCTGAGGCCTGGGCCAATGGAGCCCATGCCATCGGGGCAGGGGCACCGGCCTGTGCAGATCTGGCAGAGCGGGGGCAGAAGGCCACCTCCATGGCCTTGTCAGCCCACAGCAGGCAGACTTGGACGTCCTCTTTCTCCATCTTTGGCACCGGGCATTTCTGTGTTCACCACCGCTATTCCCTCAGGAATGAGTTCCTAGAAGCATGGTTGCTAGAAGCTCTCTTTTTGAAGGTTTAATGCCACACTGTCTGGCACCCTCTGAGTGGCCTTTCATGGTCCTTCCAGAGCACAATGTCAGTCTCCAGATTTTTCAGAGCTCAGCTGATCTCCAATAGAGCAGGTTCTAATTTACAGGCCCAGGTCATCCAAATTCACCCAAAGAGCCATCTGGATCAGAATCAAAAGTCTTAGATTCCCAGGCGCCCCACCCCCATTAAGATGGCAAAGAATTGGACCCCCCCCCAGGGAAGGGGCTAATTGCTTGTTGTTGTTGTTGTTGTTGTTTTCCTTTATTTTTTTTTGGTAACGGGGATTGAACTTGGATCTTTGCGCTTGTGAGACAGGCAGTGGAACCACTGAGCTAAACCCCCGGCCCCCTTTTTTGTTTTTTTGAGACAGGTTCTCACTATGAAGTTCAGGCTGCCCTTAAATTCACTATGTAGCCCAGACTGGCCTCAAACTATCCTCCTGCCTCAACCTCCTGAGTACAGGGATTACAGGTATGCACCACCCTGCCCAGTAGGGGTCCAATATATTTAACAGGCACCTTAGATCCATCCTATAATAAGTCGAGTTGAGAAAGGTCACTCGGTACAAACACTTGAGAAGATGTGACTTCCCTAGGACATTTTTAGAATCACATGCAGCCCTTAGCTTGTTGGGAACATGGGGTCCCTGGCAGAGAAGGAACGTGACACAGACCCCATCTTCCAGTGGTGCTGAGTGTACCCAGGGCAACTCCAAGGAGAGGTTCAGTCTCTCTGGCTTCTGTGTCCTTTTGCACGAATGGAGACATGAATAAGGCATTTGTCACTGGGGTGAGGAGGGGATTCTGAGGGTTGAATGAGTTGACCACACCCTGTGCTAGGGGCTTGTGGGATCAGTAGTGTTGGAAGATGCTTGGCCACCTTGGCCATGACCCTTGGGACATTGTTTCTGGGTGGGTCTCTGGTCCTTGTGAAGATGCTATGAGCTGCAGATTTTTTTTTTCTTTTTGGTTTTTTGAGAAAGGGTCTCACTATGTAGTTGAGACTGACCTGGAACTCACTATGTAAGTCCAGGCTGGTCTCAACTCACAGCAATCCTTCTGCCTCAGCCTCCTGAGTGCTGGGATTATAGGCATGTGCCACCATGCCCAGCAGATTTCTTTTTTTCATTCCAAATGTATTTCTTCCTTCCTTTATTTTGAGACACGATCTCGTTATGTAGTGCAGGCTGGTCTTGAACTCACTATGTAGGTCAGGCTGGCCTTGAGCTGCAGTGGTACTCTTGCCTCATCCTCCTGAGTGCTGGGATTACAAACATGTGCCTCTATGCCCAGCTTTCCGAACGTATTTCTTGAACACGACAAAATTCTACATACAAGTGGCCTGGACCTACTGCTTCAAAGCACAATTCTTACTAACAGCTGGATAAGTCAGGCCTAGGGTGCTAAAAGGCAACTTTCTCTAAAATAAGAGAA